GATATTAGAGTCATCGAATCAATAAAGTCTGCCCCAAGAATACCCAGTTCGTGGACATTGGAGATGCCTTGTTAGCAACCGACGATTTGAAATGCCTTATAAAAAATGATATGTTCTTACATGACGGTGTAAGACCAATTGCACAAAGTTTGTAATCAATAATATGAACATTATATAATATCATAAAATATAAATATATTCTAAATGTTGTTTACAGGTGATAAATGCTTACATATATTGTATGCTTGCTCACGACCATCTACAAGACAGAGCGGGTGAAAAGGTATACATTATTAGCACGTTTGTATCTGGTCAGATAAAAGAAGAAGGTGAAAGAGACATCGACCCATCAAAATATCGTCGCATCGTGCGTCATGTTAATACTTATCTACAGCAAGATATGGTTAGTTTTTGTCTTGTTATCCATGCATATAATTATGGATTGTTTGTATTTAGTTCATATGTCTAATGATTTATTAATAATTATATCTAATTGTGACTGTGATTTGTATGATATTTACACCAGTTATTCATTCCGATTAACATGCCGGGCTACCATTGGTATCTAGCAGTCGCTAATGCCAAAAAACGAGATATCCAAGTATTGGACTCACTTGGTGAGAATGTCAAACGCAATGACCTTGCTACTATGGTAACTGTCTATTTTTTTACTCATCTTAACATTTGTTTTGTTTGACTTCATCCCTAACATTTCTCATATGATAGTTACGGGGGCTCGAGAAATGGCTGAAACTTGCATAGCAGAGTCGGGAGTTTATCAGAGGTGATAAGTGGCCCGATCTCAATGTTACAAAATGGACGGTTGAAGAGCAAGTTTAGGAGGCAATACAAACCGATGGGTAAGCAATTGTTAAAATGGTTTGTTTATTTGATTCATCTGTGTGATATTCTAAAGCATTATTTTATAATATTATAGCATATCATGTGGATTGTTTATACTAAATTATATGGAATATTGGACATCACATGGACTGTCAGACCAATTCACCCAGGTATTTCATTTTTATACATTATCTTGTTATTTTATCTGAAAATATTATATAATTTTTGTATACAATTTTTGTAGGAGGATATGAAACAATTTCGTCAAAAATTAGCAGTCATGTTGCTCGATTCAGAGCTTAATAAGCTAAAAGGATGTCCCATATACTATCAACATGTCAACGAAGAAACTTTAGCTAATTCTGATCTCGAGATCCTGGATAATCCTTCTGACATAGTCGAAGACAAACGTCCTGCCTCAATCACTATCATTCACACGGACCAATGTCAATTACTTGCTGACCTCTGCAAGTACATCATGTCGATCGATGATGCCGGGTGTTTGGAGTAAGTATCATGTATCAATATTTAATGTGCGGATGTATATTATTGTTCTTCTTACCATCCAAATTACAGGAAGGTATGGGTCCGGAGCTGCACACCCGATCCAAAGAGCTTAAGTCTTAAGAAACTTCAGTGCATACTTAAGATGGAGCAGCCTATGGACAATGATTGCTTCAACACCGCCGTGCGTATGCTAGCATGTGATGAGGGAGTATTATTCACAGACCCTCCTATACACTACATGGATCTACGATTTTGTGTAAGTTATCGAAACTCTTCATTCTATGTGCCATTAGTATCAACATGTTTTAACAATATTCTTTTTTTACTTAGTCCATGATGCTAGAGTCAACACGAGGTCAGAAGTTTTGTGAGAAGGAAACTATCCAGACATTGGCAACATTATTTGATAGCTGGCCTGGGATGGAGAACGACATCTCATCTTGCAATAAGGTAAATAAAATATTTTGTCCATCGTTATCATGGTTTGTTGTTGTTTCTAATATCTCATCTTGTAGACCTTTTTGTAATGGTTAGCATCAAACTTGGTACTGACATGCAAAAATTAACAATCGTGGTATCAATCTGCATGTGATGCCCTAATTGTGGTACTTCTGTGCAATGATTTCAAAAGAGGGGCAAAACCATCCAGTGCATCACGGATCTGTATCCAGATTTTGAAGTGATTCAGATCTATCGTCGATGGCTTTGAGAAACCATGATATTGTGCGCGCCTTCGACTCTGTCTCCTGGCCGTTTCTTCTTCAGGTTCTTCGCCACCTTGGCTTCGATCCTCGATGGCGGGGAATGGATCTCCATTCTTCACTCCACTGCCAAGACCCGTGTTTTGATCAACGGCAATCTGGGCCCGCCAATCCATCATGAAAAGGGCTTGCGTCAAGGTGATCATGTCTCCCCGATGTTATTCGTGCTGGCCATCGACATCCTCAACTCTCTCCTTCAATTCGCCACTAGCTCCGGCGTGCTGCGTCGCCTCACCGAGCGCCGGATGACCTCGGGCATCTCCTTGTATGCTAATGATGTGGTCATCTTCTGTCACCCTGACCCGCATGAGCTCATCGTCGCCCGTGAGCTGCTTCGCATTTTTGGTGCTGCCTCCAGCCTTCACACAAACTTCCAGAAGTGCTCTGCCATGCCTATCCAGTGCTCTGACGCGCAACTGGTGCATATCGCGGGCACGCTCTCCTGCCCGATCATGCACTTCCCGATCACCTACTTGGGCATTCCCCTCTCGGTTCAGAAAGTCTCTGCGACTGCTCTTATGCCTCTGGTGGAGCGCATGGCCCGCAAGCTTCCTACTTGGCGCGCTTCGCTTCTCTCCCGCGGCGAGAGGCTGGCCTTCGTCCGTCATGTCCTCGCTGCTATGCCCACCCACCTCCTCATGGCCATGGCTCTGCGGCCTTCCATCCTCAAGAAGATCAACCGCATCATGTGCGAGTTTCTTTGGCACGGCGGCAGCGATTCCTCGGGCGGTGGCAATCTTGTCAGCTGGCGCAAGGTGTGCCGTCCCCGGGAGTATGGGGGCTTCGGCATTCGGGACCTGCAGCTCACGCGCATTGCTCTCCGCGCTCGCTGGCTTTAGCTAGGTAGTGGAGACATCTTCATATCCTGTCTGACACTGATGTTCAGGCTATCTTCAACGCCTCCACGATGTGGATCTTGGGGGACGGCAACTCCTGCCTCTTCTGGACGGACAGGTGGATCGGTGGGCAGTCCGTCGCCGATCTTGCTCCAGCCGCGCTCGCCTTGGTCCCCAAGAGTCTCCGGCGGACGCGTTCCGTCGCACAGGGCCTGCTGGGCAGGGCCTGGATTTCCGACATCCGTGGCGCCTTGGGACCTGCGGCCATGGTGTAGTGCGTGGAACTCTGGCGACGCCTTCAGCATTTCACCCTTTCCTCCGCCCCGATGAGCTACGTTAGCGTTGGACGAGTAGCGGCTCCTACTCCGCCAAGTCCTGCTATCAGGCTTTGTTCTCCGGTTCCACCATCGCCACGCACTGGAAGCTTACTTGGCGTACCTGGGCCCCTCTCCGCATCCGGTTCTTTGCCTGGTTGGCTGGCATGGACCGCTGCTGGACTGCTGCCAGGCTTGCTCGGCACGGGCTCCTGCACGACGATCTCTGCACGTTCTGTGCCCAGGAGCTCGAGACGATCGACCACCTACTCCTTCACTACTCATTCTCCAGGACCATCTGGCACGAGATTTTTGTTTGGTGCCGGGCCCCGATCCCCCTTCCCCAGGACCCTGAGGATTCCTTCCTGGACTGGTGGTCGGCCTCGGCCGCGGCCGCGCCTACCGCCATGCGCAAGGGGCTCTCCTCCCTGGTGCTTCTTTCCGCATGGTCCCTCTGGCGCCACGGCAACGCATGCATCTTCGACAATGCTAGCCCCTCCACCGTGCTGCTTCTCCAGGCCATCAAGGACGATGCCAGGGTTTGGGCCTCAGCCGGCGCCAAAGACATAGCTAATCTCATGCCACCTTGAGCTACTCCGGGCTGAGCATCCCGTGTTCTGCTCATGTAGCCTCTCTCTACGCCTATTAGCGTACGTAGTGGGCGGTTACACCCCCCCCCCCCTACTAACACTCTTGTTCTCTTCTATCTATCAATGGAATGATACGCAATCTTGCGTATTCGCGAAAAAAAAGAAACCATGGTATGGCACCATCAAAACAGTATTGTCATCAAAAGTCCACGGACCTCCCTCCATCACCTTGTCCCAGTCTCGTAAAAAAAACCAGACCAGCCAGGACATCTGCAGCAGCAGTATATACGGACCGCCGCCATTGGTGGTCATTGCCGCTCGTAGCAGCAGCGTGTATTCTACAGTCCAAACATCTGCAGCAGCGGTATACATCGTCATCTTGTGGGCATAAAGAAGCGCAAGATGAACCAGATCAGATAACTCGCACGAGACCATCTATATAGGTTCAGTCTACAATAGAAGCCAGACCACCTTACACAAGGATTTGAACATGACCATCACTGCTACTACCTGCTAGTAGTCGGCAGAGAGAGAAGCTAGACTCTGAAACTAGCACGAGCAACCCACCAATTCTTACAACTATACATAAGCAAACGAACCACTGAAAGCAAGTACAAGGGACAGACTCATGGTGCCAAACTGCCCATTTTCTTACTGTCTCTACAGAGGTTACCGAAGTCATAGTGGGAGCAAACAATTCAAACAGTTCATTCCTGCAAGTGCACTTCACACTTGGAGTACATACCACAACGGATCAATTTTCAGATGGGAATGGATCCTCACTGGCCACACTACCAGCAAACGCAAAATCTACTCGTGATCAAGTTGAGAAATTGACTGGATATAAAACAAAAGCAACATCCGACTCGGACGGAATATCAGTTATAACGTACTAGTGTGCTAACGGAAACTGTACTAACTAGGATTCTGAATTACTTTTCTCAATTACTATTACTTAGGCACAGTAGTGGATTCCTTACGAATTACAAAGGGAGTTCATACTTTCATAACAAATAATCATCAGTCAAAGCCCATGCACCAATAAATACTAAAATACCATAGATATCCCCATGGACACCTCCAGGCGATAATGTTACGTCACCTTATCAGTCATCGCATCATACTAGCATGTCTCATCAGACAACCATCTCATATATTGTTGAACACCTCATCTCCACCATGTCCATCACCAATGCCAGTACCTACGAGCACAGTAAGTCAGAAACCAATGACAATTCCAATGGAAAGCCATCGATAGAAGAGAGATTTATAAAGTGATATCTCGGTGAACCGAGACGTGCGTACTTATGTAATCTAGACAACGTGAGACATACAGAAAAGTGCAAATGGAGTTACACATTAAGCTGGTTTGGTATTTATTTATCCTCTAGTGCAAAACTGCAAATGGACTCCTCACTTCAGGAAGATATTTAACAAAACATAAAATAGAACTTTAATTTTATTCCACCGGTTTCAGCTTCCAAATGTAAGAGTGTAACTAGCTTTAAGTTTCGAGAAGTGCCAATGGAGTTATACATTGAGCTGGTTTGGTCTCAGCTTCCATTTAGTTCTCTCCCATTTTCAACTGTTATGTAGCACTTTGTCAAGAGAACCGCGGTCCAGTACTGAATATTACCATAACACAGTTCACGCGGAAGAAAATACACTTTCTAAAAATCATCTTGAGTAAAATCAATTCCTTGTCAGACCAAGCAGAACGAACTAAGACATGACAAAGGTTAAAACCTGACAAGAAACATAATAAGTTCCGGTTATGTTTCCCAGTTTACAACTGAACTTGCTAAGCATAGCAGGGCTCTTCCACAAATGACAAAACTATTGCGACGATTTCCAGCTGTTATGCATTCAGTGCTGAAATGAAAAGATATAAACTTCAGATAGGCACACAAGGCTACATTTGAAACACAATTTACGCATATTACCAATAGAGAAGAACAAATAAATACTACTCGGATTCAATGTTCATCAAGAGAATTTCCATTTAAGGAATTCATCAAGCAGCAAAAGGAAAATATATGTGATTTGAACTGCAATCATCAGCTTAACACTCAAGGATATGATAGGCATTTCAGCAACTAATGGCTAAACATAAATTTATCTTACAATACTGCAAAGTAATTATATAAAGGCTTGCTACTACCTGCAGGATAGAAATATTCAAATGGATAATGGAGACAGAAGACACTCAGATTGGAAAGTTTCTTAAACCCCGTTGACCGGAGATAAACCATGAAGACACCAGAATCTGTCTGTACAAGGACTGCATTACTCTCCTCGGCAAACCCCACTAAAGCGAGAGAGTATCCAATGCAAGTTGGTCTGAGCTCCTCAAACTCAATAGCTTTATTGAGCACCCAAACATCCAAACCATTAGAATCAGGCTTTCTCTTCCATAATTTGGCGTGAAATTGTGAGAGATGGATGAAGCCAAGCCCACCATCTTCGGCCGGCACAATCCATAACTTTTTATAGTTGGGTTCTATAGGTGCTGGCAGCTCTGTCACAGTTAGGGTGTGCTTATCCAGATCAAACTCAAGTATGACATTTTGACGACGCACCGGAAGTAACCAGCAAAGGGAATTCCCAATCAAAGTACTGGTTTGTTCCACAGGTAAAAAATTCAGCTGCAGTGATTTGATGTTGCTCCATATCCCAGTCTCCGATGAGTAAAGGCATACGGAGACTCTAGTACATGCTCTGTCACGGGCTACCACGGCCACCCGGAAATGGCCTGAACTGCAGCCTTGGCCGCGTGCAGGGCGAAGCACAGCCCCGTTGAAGATGAACATCTGCCCGATGTCCAGCTCAGGTGGGGAGATGAGGCGGCGCTGCTCGCGGGCGACGGGGTCCCACACAAGTAGGCGGCGCGGCGGCCATGGGCTGAGGAAGAGGACAAGTCCGTGGCGACAGTCGATGATGCGGTTGCTCTCGTATAGAGGCATGGAGAAGCGAGCGCCGGGGATGCGATCCGGTGGATCCAGCATTGGAACAAACGGGCAGGAGAAAGGATTGTCGAGGAAGAAGCCAAGGAGAGGGGGCTTGCCGTGGTGGGCGCGGAAGCGGCGTTGGAATTGGGGGTCGGAGACGATGCTGCGCCAACGCTTGCAGACGAGGGAGGCTCGGGGGAGGGAGGAAGGCCGCGGGGGCAGGCGGAGGAGAATTTCCCGGAGCAGGTCGTCGGCGTCTGGCAGAGAGGCCGGCGGCGGAGACGGCGGACCGGTGCGGCGGCGGCGGCAGCGGCGGGGAGACATCTCCCCTCTCGTGCTCATGGTAGGGCTTGCAGCTCCTCTCGATGTGTGATTCGGATGGCTGGGAAGACTGGTCTGGGCCAGATCAACTAGTCGGCGGGGAGCATGGCGTTGTCGACGCCGCCGGCCAAGATGCGGCAGCGGTGAGTCGTGCCCGTGGTAGCGATGCGGCGCACGGGCAAGGCCAACCTGGCCAACATGGCTATCTGGGCCGTGCCAGTTGGGCTGGCACGAGCTAAATGGGTCGTGCCCAGCACGCGGCACGCCTAAAGGCTTGACACGCAGGCTGGCATGGCACGGCCCGTTTTATCTATTTTTATTTTTCTGATTTATATATATATATAGCCCAGAAAAACGGGAGCTCTTTGTGGGCCAATTCTACACTCGGCCCAGGAACAGAGTCATTCACGAAAAAAAAGCACGCAAAATTTTGACAGAACGGGGATTTGATCTCACGCCGCATTTGCTTGCAACTTCTTCGCTTAACCACTACAGCAACGTACCGGTAGTGAACAAAAGCAACACGAACTGCTTTAGAACTAATGCAACACGCTATTTATCACTCAGCCATTTACTATACCACTAAGATTTTTGAGTTATTTGAATTTTTTTGGTAAAAGTTTATTTTTTCTAATGAAAAACAGTCTGTTCAATTTTGAAAAAAGTTCATCAATTTGGAAAAGGTTCATCAAAAATGAAAAAAGTTCATCGGATTTGATAAAGGTTCACTGGTTTTGAAAAAAGTTCACTGGTTTTGAAGAAAAAAAGATCATCGATTTTAAAAAAAGTTCATTCAATTTGAAAAAGTTCATCAATTTTTAAAAATAATTCATCAAATTTGAAAAAAGTTTGTCGCATTTGACAAACAGTTCATCTAATTTCAAAAAGTTCATCTATTTTGAAAAAAAGTTCACGAACTAAAAACCCACGCATTTAAGAAAAAGATAAAATAAAAAAGAAACGAAGTAGAAAAAAAGGGAAAAACGAAAAAGAACAAAACGAAGTGACAAAGAAATACAAGAGGAAAACGAACGACCAGTACACGAAGCTGGGCAGTAGCCTGCTGCTTGTCCTGCACTCTTTCGAACGATCAGGTCGCGTGTTCGGTCCCACGTGCAGCAGCTTTTTTAGGATAAAACGAAGATGAACCATTTTTTAAACAATAAGGTAGTTGGGCCGGCCCAGCGCTGGGGGCTGCAGGCGCCCGTTTGCAAGATGCATACTAACGGGCGCCTGCAGCGCCAAATAGTAAATGCACAGAAAAACATCTCGGTAGGACAAAAAGAACATAGGCCAAACATGCTAAACATGCCACGGGCCGGCCCGTTCACGAAATGTGTTGTGGGTCACGCCGTGCAGGCACCACTCACTCTGTTTTGCTAGGTGACTTCTACTGAATTGATAACTTTAAGACTCTAACCGAGAAAATACTTGCTGCTAGGTGACAACACCCTTATACTTAAGAGATCCCAACCACTCATGCGGGATCAAGCACGCGACAGTGAAAATTAATATAGCAAAGCGCCCATCAGCCTCCAGCAATTTACTAAGAAAGACCACAGACCGCCCATAGTGATGTACTTCTGATTACATTTACAAAAAGAAAATGGTTAATTTTCTAGAGATATTGCCCAAAGTATGATTGTTTTCGATATGTTTTTTGTCAAAAACTTCTGATCTATTCATCTTCAATCATGATGGTACAACGAATACTAGAAATAATAAAAATTAGATCCAAATCGGTAGACCACCTAGCGACGACTACAAGCACTGAAGCGAGCCGAAGGCGTGCCGCTGTCATCAGCCCTCCCTGGTCGGATCCGGGCAAACCTTGTTGTAGTAGACAGTCGAGAAGTCGTCGTGCTAAGACTCCATAGAACCAACGCACCAGAACAGCAACCGTCGTCGATGAAAAGTGTATATCAGAAGAATTTAACCTGAAGACACACGAACATAGACAAACGACAAACAGATCCGAGCAAATTCACCAAAGACAGATCCGCTAGAGAGATGCCTTCACACGCCCACTGACGATGCTAGACGCATCACCAGAATGGGGCTGGGCGAGGAGACATTTATTCCATCTTCAGAGAGCCGCAGTTATCTTGCCTTCGAGAGCAGGACACAAACCCTAACAAAAATTGAAAAAAAAATCTACAAACAGAGCCCTCCCACCAGCAAGGATCGGGATCCACTCTGCCCCCATAGCCCTAAAGCCACCGGAGACGGGGCGGACCAACAACGACACCGACGGGAGGCAGAGGAACCCAATCTTTTTGGAAAGGCGACAGCTGCCTATCGATTGGTCCTTTTTAGATAATTTACTTCGGATCCGGGCAAACCTTGTTGTAGTAGACAGTCGAGAAGTCGTCGTGCTAAGACTCCATAGAACCAACGCACCAGAACAGCAACCGTCGTCGATGAAGAGTGTATATCAGAAGAATTTAACCTGAAGACACACGAACATAGACAAACGACAAACAGATCCGAGCAAATTCACCAAAGACGCATCACCAGAATGGGGCTAGGCGAGGAGACATTTATTCCATCTTCAGAGAGCCGCAGTTATCTTGCCTTCAAGAGCAGGACACAAACCCTAACAAACATTAGAAAAAAAATCTACAAACAGAGCCCTCCCACCAGCAAGGATCGGGATCCACTCTGCCCCCATAGCCCTAAAGCCACCGTAGACGGGGCGGACCAACAACGACACCGACGGGAGGCAGAGGAACCCAATCTTTTTGGAAAGGCGACAGCTGCCTATCGATTGGTCCTTTTTAGATAATTTACTTCAACGAAAGACCAGGACTAAGTTGCTAGGTTATTTCAGCAACTACATACTATATTAGCGAAAGAAGAGGTTTTCTCTTCTTTTTAAAAGAAATATTGGAAGTGCACAAAATACTCTAAAAATATATGTGTAGGAGTCTCCCCGGAATTTGAACTTATGTGGCATCGTCTATATTTTCGTTGTACTCCAACTGTTCATAAATGCAGAATGTTTTGAATATGTCAATATGGACTACATACAGACTGAAATGAATAAACAAACACTAAATCATACCTATATAGTACTCCCTCCGTAAATTAATATAAAAGCGTTTAGATCATTACTTTAGTAATCCAAACGCTCTTACATTAGTTTACAGAGGGAGTACAATCTGTTAGATGATATTGTATAGAGGTAGAAGAGGTGGTTTAAACTTGTATCTTTCTATCTCTTCTTCTGTTGTAACCTCCCCGATCTCCTGTACCGATCGATCACGATCTCTCTCGGTCTCTTGTAAGCCACGGCACACATGTGATATAAATAGAGATGCGGCCCGAGCAAAGGGTTCAACGCTTCCACCAAAGTTTACATGGCATCAGAGCCTCTTCCTCGATAGATTGGATAGAGATCGCATCTAGCTACCTAGGCGACCGCAACCATGTCCACCACCACCGCTGCCATGACGGCTAGCACCATGGGTGCGCTCACCACCGACACCTCCTCCACTTTTGCGTCATCGTCCACCTCCACCTCCACCAACTCCTTCCTCGGATCGCCGCTGCAAGAGAAGCTGACGAGGGGCAACTTCTTGCTCTGGAAGGCCATCGTCCTACCCCAGATCAAGGGCGCGCAGATGGAACATCATCTCGACGCGAAGAGTCCGGCACCGCCGGCCATCCTCACCATTACCAAAGAAGGCAAAGAAGAACAGGTACTGAACTTTGCGCGATCTCTTTGGTTTGCACAGCAGCAACAGCTCCAAGGCTACCTGATGGGCTCCCTCTCCCGCGACATTCTTGCTCAAGTCGCCACGCTCCAGACGCCGGCTGAAGTCTGGCGCGCCATCCACTACATGTTCGCTGCCCAGAGTCAAGCCCAAGCTATCAATACACGTATTGAGCTCACAAATCTTCAAAAAGGTAACATGACTATGGCCGAATACCTTGGAAAGATTAAAAGCCTTACCGATGAAGTTGCCTGTACTGCTACCGCGCTCTCCGATCCGGAGATCGTGTCAAAAATCTTGGCCGGACTGGACATGGATTACAATCCAGTCGTCTTGGCCCTTGCTGCCTGGGTTGAGCCCATCACCGTTCAGGAGTTGTACAGTCAGCTCCTCAGCTTCGACACCCGCCTCAGTCTCCTTCATGGTGCCAGCTTTCGCCAGTCCTCTGCCAATGCCGCCTCGCGTGGACGCGGCCGTGGGCGCGGTCACCACGCGCAGCGTGGCGGTGGGCGTGAGCGTGGCAACGCACAGGGCGACAACAGCTACACCAACAACTACAACAACACCGGCGGCAGCAGCTACAACAACACCGGCAATCGATCAGGGGGTGGTGGCTTCAACAACAACAACAGCCGCCGCCCTCCTCCTTCCTCCCGTGGTCGCCCTCGCTGTCAACTCTGCAAGAAGGCCGGCCATGAGGTGATGGACTGCTGGCACCGTTCTGATGAGAACTATGTGCCTGATGCTCGCCATGTTGCTGCAGCCGTACGTGAGCAAGGAGGAGATGGCGTCTGGTATGTTGACTCCGGTGCCACCGATCATGTCACAAGTGAACTGGAGCAACTTGCCCTCCGTGAACAGTACCACGGCCATGATTAGATTCACACCGCAAGCGGTGGAGGTATGGATATTCAACACATTGGCCAAGCTTATATTAATTCCCCTATGCTTAAACGTGATCTAGTTCTTAAAGATGTCCTTCATGTCCCTCAAGCTGATAAAAACCTTGCCTCTATGTCTCGTTTAGCCACTGATAATAACATCTTCTTTGAAACTCATCCTCGTTACTTTTTTATCAAGGATCGGGCAACGAGGGAACTTCTACACCACGATAGATGTGTTGGAGGTCTCTACCCCATCACATCCGAAGCACTTAGCCGCAAGCGTCGTCAGGTCTACTCCGTCATCAAGCCCTCTTTGGCAAGGTGGCATCAACGATTAGGACATCCGTCTTCTATCATAGTTAAGCAAGTAGTCAATAAAGGCAATCTTTCTTTGTCACATAGCCATGTTAGTGATTCGTTT